AAAACAACAAAGCAACCAACCGACCAACCAACCGAAGGATCAAGGTGAGCTTATGCCATACCGTGGCGTCCGTCGTCCGTACGTCAACAAACGACTTCTTCTTCTGAACCTCTTGCAATTAACGAAATTTGACTGGAAGCATCCCTAGGTGGTGGGGATTCAAAATCGTACAGATCGTGGGGCTGACCATTCAAGGGGCTGAGGGACGGGGCCAAATAGGGATAATTTAGCCATATTGCTGACCCCTCAAGGGGCTGAGGGGCGGGGTCAAAGAGAGTTTATAACTTGGACACAGTTAAGATTCCCATCGTATAACCATATGTACAATTGCTGAGTAGAATGAGAGGGATGCACATATGCTACCAGGATGGCCGGGGGGTCTCGCTCCACCCCTGAGTCATAACTTTGAAACAGTTAAAATCCCCACGCCATAACCATATATACAATTGCTGGGCATATAGTGACAAACACAATCATGATATTAGAATTGAGCCAGGGGTCTTGCCACAGCCCTAGGGATTAAGTACTTTGGTGAAAACTTGGAAACAGTTGAGATCCCCACCCTATTACCATATACATGTATGCATGTAATTGCTTAGTATAACAAGACAAATACACATATGCTACCAGGATGGTCCTAGGTATACGGTCCCATTCTACTTAACATAGTCCCTCACTTCGGATAATAACTTTGTCAATAAGATGTATGTTGAAGTTACCATTCATCTTCGTAATTCTGACGGTGTTTAAAATCCTCCAAATACTTTGCTGCAAACCCCGGAGTCGCTGCCCCCCCCCCCCCCCCCCTTGCCTGTCAAGTCTTCACAGCTACCCCCCAGCCCTACCCTCGGGGACATATCTGAGAATAAGTATCGAAGTGAAATGATGTGGAATATATATACTGAACAAAAATAAAAACTTCACAATCCTAAAATTTTAACATTTTGACCAATTATCATTATTGTGGGCCCTTTTTGTGTATTTAAACAGTAATGGCCACGTATTGTTTTCAGATAACACCCGTTTTTGTGCAGGTGAATCGATCAAAATCGTGTGCACACCACTATAGTGGCAAAAGTGTTTTTTCACGTGCAACTGGTCACGTGGCCGTAATACCACACGTGTTTTTAGCCATACTTGTTAGCAGTCATTAACAAAAAGAGAAAACACAAGAAAACAAAAGTCTTTACGGCCATTTGTCATACCACGCCTTTCAAATGTGCAAAGTGAACGTGCCATCGGCATGTTGCAGACGGGAACGTCCGTAGCTGAAGTTGCAAGGATGATGGGTTGTAGTCGACGGACTGTTTATCATTTACAGACGCGTCTACAGCAAACGGGTACCACCGCTGATCGCCCTCGGCCAGGTCAACCACGTGTGACGTCACATGTAGAGGATCTTTAGATTGTCTTACGTCACCTCCGTAACCGATTGTTGACGGCTACATCAACCAGAACTGTTTAGGGGTAGACTGAGTGCGCCAACTGTTCGAAACCGTCTGAGAACTGCTCACCTTCAAGCACGACGGCCATACTGCGGGCCGATTCTGACTCAATTACACAGACGTCAACGTCAATTATGGGCACAGCGACACTTACGATGGACTCAAGTCGTCTTCAGTGATGAATCCCGATTTAATCTTCGATTTGCTGATGGTAGGGCGAGGGTGTGGAGGCGCCGTCATGAACGTTACGCCCAGTGTTGTGTACAGGAAGTTGACAGATTTCGAGGCGGACGTGTCATGGTGTGGGGTGCTTTCTGTGGCAATGCACGTTCCAGGCTTCTTGTCATCCGTGGCAACCTCAATGCTGCTGCTGACCGCGACCAGGTACTGGCACCAGAGCTTCTGCCTTTTATGGCAGCACATTGACCAGGTTTGATCTTCCAACACGCCAATGCCAGACCCCACACAGCAATTTTGACAAGTAATTTCCTTTAGAATGCGGGAGTCAACGTCGTGGACTGGCCGTCAAGGTCTCCCGACCTCAATCGCATCGAACACGTCTGGGATGCTCTTGGCAGAAGTCTGCGCACTCTCAAGAACCAACCACAGAACTTGCAAGATCATGGCACCATTTTGCAGCAACAATGGCGTCGTCTTCCCAATCATGCGTTCACAAGCATCACAAGGTCCATGCGAAGGCGTTGTGTGGCAGTTGTCAACGCACATGGTGGCCACACACGCTACTGAACTTGTGTGCCATCAGATTCTCGTGCTTGGGATTTATGATTTAAACTGTTGACGTAATTACCGAATACCGTAGGTGCTTTGAACAAATTATGCTTACCACCGTTAATTTAAATCCTTCTTTGGACATTAATGATTAAAAATTACCTTCTCTGATACATTTGTCCGTTGTATATCATATATTGGAATTTTCTTTTAAAAATGTGAAGTTTTTAATTTGACTGAGTATATGTATAAAATATATTACCACTTGCTACATATACATTTGTTTGTCATGAAGAGAATAATACATTTATGCCAATAGGATTCGCCCTGGGGTCCAGCCTTGCCTCTGGAAACTTAGATCCTGGCTAATCAAACGGAAACGGTTCAGATCTTTATGCTACATTTGTATCTAGAGAAGTACACGTTCATGTTGTCAGCCGTCCACCCCTTTTAAATGTTGAGAACATTTACGTAATATTTGCACTATTATATACATGTACAATGCAAATAACACGTCCCATTTTAATTCTGGAATCCCATTTGTTCAGATGAAGATCCGGGGTAGAATAGGTCTTCAGCAACCCATGCTTGCCGTAAAAGGCGACTATGCTTGATAGTCAAAACGTCCCCCTTATTTGTAATAAAGAAGTTGTTCATCCATCAAAGAAGCTTTATGGCTCATTTTTTACCCATCTATTGCCAACATTATTTCATTACAGGCTATGTTAAAAAGAAAAGAGTCTGATTTTACTGCAATGACTTTTCCAAGGCATTTCACACTCAAAGCAATGTTCGTCTGAACCTCACTGTGTGAAGTTTTAAGCCCACATTTTGTAAATATAATTATAAACCAGTGCCCTTAAGGAAAGTTGGTTGGGTGGTTAGTTTGTTGTTTAACGCCGCAATCGCTGACTTGGTTGATACATGTCATCGATCCCAATTCGAGTGGTCAGGCTCGCCAATTGCGCGGATCGACGCTCATGATGTCAATCACTGGATTGTCTGGTCCAGACTCGATTATTTACAGACCGCCGTCATATAGCTGGAATATTGGCGAGTGCGGCGTTTAACAACAAACAAACAAACAAACACCACCCGATCTCGTCATTCGCCTCTAATATCTATTTAAATGAATCTAGCAAGAACATTATCTATATACATGAATCTAGCAAGTGTACCCTTACTTTGCAGATGTTCTCGAGGCTTTACCATGTCACTTTGAGGGTTGCAGTCAACGATGCTGGAAAGAAAATGGGTTTGACCCGCCTAAGTTTGCGTTGACATTCCGAGGTGATGGATCGTCAGCTGATAATGAAACGGACGTTTTTGAGAACAGTAGCGAATCACCCCTTTTATCAGGACAAGAAGGACTATATAAATGTCACTGTGATGACATGTGTATAATCTATGGGGATTGCTGCTATGATTTTCTTTCTGAATGTCATGGCACTAACATGTCGATTCTATTCTCTAATGTGTCAGACTGGAATGATGTTTATATGATAACAAAAAGTTTAATGAATGATGTTTCTTCCTTCGATGCAAAGATGTCAATTCTTAGGTTCAGATCTTGCCAAGAAATTGAAGGATCTGATGATGTAACCCATTATTATTGGATGATATCCAACTGCCCACTTAATGCCAATATTGGTGTGGCCGACAAATGTACATCAAACTTACGCACTCCGCTCAATAGTTCCCCAGTTACCTTGAAACAAAACCCAGAAGTGATATTCCGTAATATCTATTGTGGCATTTGTCATGGGTTTCAAGTAAAAGATGTGCTACGGTGGAGCACCAAAGCTGTATGCTATGGCACCAGTCCAAATAGTTATTCAAATTTATTGGAGAAACTCAAATATGGTAACTGCACTATAAAAGGTGAACCAACTAAAGAAACAAAAGTGAGAACATGCAATAAATATGATGTGGACAGGTGTTCACAGAATGAACAGGATGTTGATCCCAATGTTCTCATGTGTAGAAGCTATGAACAAATGGTTTTCGATGAGGATGGAGCGCGTTACAGAAATCCCCATGTCTTAGGTCGGCGGCCATACTTGAATGAGAAGAACCTAACTTGTACTGACATAGAGACAATAAATATCAAAGCACGGTTCCCTTCAACTGGTCCTTTGGCCTTTATGGGAGATGGACTTAGCATACTGTTTAATTTTAATGAACAAGGCGTGAAATTTGAAACTAATCAAATAATAATGCCCACAGGAGATTGTAAGGTAGATGAAGTATTTGACCATTACTATGACATTTGTCGGAAACTGCACTGTCAAGGGGGCAATGTTGCTGTCAACGGATCTTGTATCTTTAATGGAACTCAAATTGTAACAAATTATTTCGTTCCCTATCACGTAACGCCAGATCACTTCTATCTTAATTTCTCAGTTAATTTTGAAAATGACACAATAATTGGTACAAAATCAAAGTTTCATGTTACAAATATTAGCTTTGGTGCTGATTTTATCACGGATTTGAACATTATCGTCACTAATATCTCAACCAATGCATTAAGTAAAGAAAATAGTTCAACTGATGACAATCTCTATCCGCGAATTGACTTCTCTATTGAGATAATGACTGACTCGAATTTAACACTGACAACTCTCGTACATGTAATCGCACAAGTAAACGAATTGTTATCCAAAAAAAGTAGTACCCACTTACGAACCATAACAGATGTGTTTCTTTCGAATTTATATATACAGAACTTCACATGCAGTCAGGGGACAGCCATTACATTACAAAATGCATCATTGACAACAAACAGTGAAATAATGTATGCACATGACAGTGACACTCTATACCCGCTGGAGAGGATAGGGTTTGTCCTTGAGTACAATAATATGACTGCTGTTCTTTCAGAAGCCATTGTTTGTGGTATTCCTCTAAACTGTGATTTCAACATTCTTAATCGTTCCGATTTTGAGCTAGATAACCTTAAATTAAAAGCTATACACTCAGACCTGGTCCTTGAAGAAGATACTTTCTTCATACAAGAAGAAAAGGTATACGCCTGCAACACGTTCAACCACTCTCGAACGAGGCGCCACAGTCAAACATTCTTTAAATACGACCACATACAGGGTATTCTGAGCCATGTGACGTCTGGTGTTTCCTTGGTCAGCCTACTGATCACACTGGTCGTGTATTCACTGCTGCCTGAGCTAAGAAATCTACCCGGTCGTCTAATCATGTCGTTGTCTGCCTCCCTTCTGGTATCTCAAACCCTTCTACTTCTCATCCGTCAACCCACTGGAGTACTGTGTCAGGCCCTAGCAATAGCTCTGCATTTCTCTTGGCTCTGTTCCTTCATGTGGATGACGGTCATGTCATTTAGTGTGGCTAATACTTTCCAAAGCAAAACAAAACAGGCACTGGCTCAGAGGACCAACAAAACGTATACACTCTTCAGTCTCTTTGCATTCGGAATTCCAGTAGTGGTTGTTGGTGTCTCGGTTCTTATTGATGTCCTTGATGTCCCTGGTATAGTTATTGGTTATGGAGTATCAGGAGTATGTTGGATCTCTAATCCAACAGCAGCACTCTTGATATTCGGACTTCCAGTTGGTCTTAGCATTGTAGCCAACACAATAGCTTTTGTCGTTACATACTACAACATTGACAAGAGTCTGAGACTTTCAAAGAACGTGACAAGTACTGGGAAGGACAAATGCCGTATCCTCATCTACAGTAAGCTGTTCATCATAATGGGTGTTACGTGGGGATTCAGCTTCATTGCAGGATTTGCTGATGTAAGATCCCTTTGGTACATCTTCATCATTATGAACGGACTTCAAGGTTTGTACATATTATTAAGCTTCATCTGCACAGACAGGGTTAAATTAATGCTAAGACAGAAATTTGCAGGCAAGGAATCGCAACATGACATGACTTCGACTGTGTTCACAAGTACCGCAACCAAAACATAAGACTGGGGAGCAACGTGTTCTTCTCCATTAACTGAAAATGTCGAGCTCGAGGGATCGTATGAAATCTTCGAAAATGGGGATGTCGATACATAATGATACATTTTTTTGTTTTTGGTCTGAGAAAGTTACATGGGGATGAGAAATAGTTGTAAAAATGTGAATAAACTTTCAAAAGAAACTTTGACCTTGCCTCACATATGCATGCTTATATGCGTACATACGACGTACATAAATAATAATTAAGATATTTGATAACACGTTCATAACGGTCAATTATTACACTGAACACGTTTGCGTAAATCGGGCACAATCATCAGAGGGAAACGCTCTGTCGTACAGTGGTTTGCCTGACCTCACCTGCAGCCGCTAGGAGGTGAAGGGCAGGATACCGACCCATTTCCCCAAACAGTATTTCGCTGCGGTGAAACGTTCATCCATTTCAGCGGTTCTGCCTGTCGAGAGGGACGGGCTCACATCATATCGCTATGCGGGAAACTCAGTTTCCATGTAGAATAAACCATGAGGGGCGCAGCTTTTAAAAAAATTACCCGTATTCAAATAATGATGACTATTTTTTTAACGGGTGGGTATTTCCTGTATACTCTCGTAATCCTAACGATTACCTGTACCTTTCCTCCCATTACCGATTGTCATATCTCACCCGTGAAGATCCGGGGTAGAATAGGTCTTCAGCAATCCATGCTTGCCGTAAAAGGCGACTATGCTTGTCGTAAAAGGCGACTAACGGGATCGGGTGGTCAGGCTCGCTGACTTGGTTGATGCATGTCATCGATCCCAATTTCGTGGATCGATGCTCATGATATTAATCACTAAATTGTCTGGTCCAGACTGGATTATTTACAGACCGCCGTCATATAGCTGGAATATTGCTGAGTGTGTTAAACAACCAACCAACCAACTTGCATCAATAAGTAGGTATATTTCAAAATTTCTTTGCTCCGTGTTGATCCTCTGGATCAAAGTTGTCTTGTTGTGTACACTAAGTAGTCTCTTCATGCGAATGATATTCTAGGCAGAGTAAATTTGACGTGTAATTTATTGAGACTACGGAATAGGATTCATAAAAAAAGCTTTTTCGAAGTAAATGAGAAAGATATCTATAAAACAAGAGAATATAACTTATTTTAGGATATTATTGATAATTGTGAACATTAAGGTAGGTCTACAGCAACCCACGATTGTAAGAGCCACGTAAAGAACTCTGGTGGTCGGGCTGGCTGACGTACTTATGTTATACTGTATGTTATCGCATCCCATATGCTCATGATGTCGTGATTGTGATTTGCATTATGTCATCCTCTCGATCTGGCAGGAGTGAGTGAGTTAGTTGGGTTTAACGCCGCTTTTAACAGTATTCCAGTTATATCACGGCGTGTCAGCTTAATATGGGAGGAAAGCCCAAGTGTTGCAGGTCTCAGACGTTTACCACTTCGGTGAAACCCACGAGCACGAGTATGGTGCTGACAAACCTAGAAACATAATCGGGGCGAACCGGGATTCGAACCCACAATCATAGGTTTCTGGCGTGCCCAAGGGACGCAACTCTCCACAGCGAATCGCGGCGCCTTAGACGACTGGGCAACCCGTGCCCCCCGATCTGGCAGGAATTTTGCCGAGTGACGCGTTAAACAACAAACCAACGAACAAGGTCTTGTATGGGTTAATGTATATTATGCTGTTGAATCCGAGGGTAGAGTATTGTTGTGCGTTTTATGTGTAGTAATATTGGTAGTATCATGTTTTTTTAAATTATCGGATTCTATATGGGTAAGGAAGAGAATATATCGATGTCAACTTCTTTATTATGAGGAACACAACGTTTCGGAGTAAATGCTTACTCCTTCATCAGGTGAATGAATGCCATGAGTCTGACTGACTGACTGACTGACTGATATAGGAGATTTAACGTGCGCTTTCCGACTGTAGCGTATTTCGCACACGGGCCTGGCCGGACCATTTAGTGTATTCCGAAAAGGGTGAAAGTGGTGTGTGCAACCCAAGTCGGGGCTTTTAGGGGTTGCTTATATTGATTTTTTGGAATTTTTGAATTTGGAATAAATGCCGAAGTGGATGGAGGAGGGAACTAAGGTAGCCGGATGAGGTGGGTGTTTGTATGTTTATTGGATTTTGGATTGGTAGATTAATGAGTTTTTAGATGCGCTTAATTAGATCTGTTTTGATAAGGAATACGCCTAGGGCCTTGAAGTTTTCTAGTTTATTTTGAGGGTTTAGTTTTTCATTTCGAGTAGGAGCCTTATTTAGATTGAGGGTGTTTTGTAGTGTGGTTCTGTGTGTTTGATAGTGGGAGCAGTGGATGAGTGCGTGTTCTGTGGTTTCGGGTTGTTTGCAGTGGGGGCAGTTTCCTGTGGTGTGTCTTTTAATTTTTTTTTAGGTGGTCAGTTAGGTTCGTGTGTCCTGTTTGGAGTTTTGTAATTAATCTGTCAATTTCTTTAGAGGGGTGTAGGATTTAGGTTTGGCTAGTGGTTTTCTGAGTACTTTTTTGATTTGGCTATTTGAGTTTTGATATTGATTATGCCATTTTTTGGTAATTTGTTGTTTGTTTACACTTTTAATTTCTGATTTTGAGATGGGTAGGTTTGGGCTTATTTCTGGTATTTTGAGAGATAATTTAGCTGCTTTATCGGCGCCTTCGTTGCCGTAAATTCCTACGTGGGCGGGGATCCACAAAAAGGTATTTTGTTTGCCTGCTTTTGTTAGGTCGTTGGAGCTTTTAAGTATTTGGTCGGTTTTGGGTATTTTTGTTTTGGAGGGCTTGTAGTCCACTAATGGAGTCGGTGAGAATTAGGATTTTATTGTTGTTTTTAGATTGTTGGTTATGCAGGGCTGAGGCCATGCCCATAAGTTCGGCCGTGAATATAGCTTGGTTGTTAGGGAGTCGGTAAGATTGTGTGGTTTTAACTGGTTGTGTGGTATGGACTCCGAAGCCTGTGTGGTTGGAGATCGGGTCTGAAGATCCGTCCGTGTTTATGTGACACCAATTTGGCCAAATTTCGTGTATGTATGCAAGTGTGGTGGTTTTAGCTATGTTTGGGTCGGTTTGTTTATTTATGTGGTTAGCTAGCGTTGTGTCTATATTGGGTTTTTGAGTTTAGGGGTGAAGATATTTGATTTTTTGCAGTTTTGTTTAAGAGTTTGGTGTTCATTGAGGTAGTTTGTTATTCTTTGGGATATTAGGGTGAGTAGGGGGGGTTGGCGAGCTGGAGCTTGGTTTCTTGGGCTAATGCCATGAGGCAGAGAGCATATATATGTACATGTAAGGACAACAAAATTAATAAGATATTAATGGGTGCTTAAGGGTGGCATGAACTTTTAATTAATCAGTATTTGTCAAACTGTTAAGCAATTCTGTGCCAACCCATGGATAAGTGGAGTGTCATTTTATGTGAACAGTTCTGTCTTGATGGCATTGTCATAATACATGTATGTGCATATGACATACGTGTTTTATGTAAACGGGTCTGCTTTAGTGAGTATGAGTTAGTGACACCAGAAATAGGCTTCACATGTTGTCCTGTGGTGAATAGAACCTGGGTCTTTCGTGTGAGCGAAGTCTTTAACCGCTTGGTTTGTTTGTAGTTGTTTAACGCCGCACTCAGCAATATTCCAGCTATATGACGGTGGTCTGTAAATAACCGAGTCTGGACCGGACAATCCAGTAATTGACATCATGAGCATTGATCCACGCAATTGGGACCTATGACATGCATCAACCAAGTCAGCGAGCCTGCCAACCCGATCCCGTTAGTCGCCTCTTACGACAAGCATAGTCACCTTTTACGGCAAGCATGGGTTGCTGAAGACCTATTCTACCCCGGATGTTCACGGGTCTACAGGAAGTGGTACTATCCTTCATCTCTCTGGATGATATATTGTACATTTTGATGTCACGTGTCTATACGACTGTTCTTTACAAATGTAGTTTATTGACCGCTTGTTCCTGTGAAAGTTCTGGGTTAAACATTTGATTATCGTTTGTAAATAGCTAGTAGCATTACGTGTTACTCGGGTTAAATGTATTTTCACATATGTGATGAGTGGAATGTTTTTCCTTATTTTATATTACCTTGACTTATTTATTGTGCAGTTTTGTGTTGACCAATAAAGTGCTTCAAATGTATTTTTGTGTCATGAATATTTAAAAAAAGAGAATCCAGTAATATGTGCACATCGGATATAGACCCGTAAAGATCCGAGCCGTGAAGATTCCGGGGTAGAATAGGTCTTCAGCAACCCATGCTTGTCGTAAAAGGCGACAAACGGGATCGGGTGGTCAGGCTCGCTGACTTGGTTGATGCATGTCATCGATCCCAATTGCGTGGATCGATACTCATGATATCATTCACTGGATTGCCTGGTCCAGACTCGATTATTTACAGACCGCCATCATATAGCTGGAATATTGTTGAGTGCGGCGTAAAACCAACCAACCAACCAACTGTACTGCCTCTTGTGAGTAACCGAGTGATCATCTGCCAAAGTTGCAGCCTTGAGTAACTGATCAACCTTCGGATACGCTTTCTCGGCAAGTTCACAGCAATATACACTGCTCGGAAACTCTACCGAGGTCATTACCGTAAACTATGTTAATAACGAACTGACAGTTATAACGAACTGTTTTTTTTGTCCCGGTAATATCTGTATATATTATCATATACAATACGTTCAGCGAACTTTTGTCATAACGAACTAAAGTTAGTGGTCCCTTTGAGTTCGTTATAACCGTAGCCCACTTGTACATATATCGTAACGTTCTACAGGACCAATGCAGTACACATGGGGCTGTGATGATGCACGACCACACTCCCCTTCAGCGGCTGTTGATCTGCCTGGGCCAACTAAGGGCCAATCCTTTGTAAAATAAATCCGTCTAACTCGTTAACAGCGTTAACAGATTGGTGCATTTCATATAGCTTTTACTGACTCCTGATCCGTTAATCGTCTAAACGCTCCTGTGTGTGGAGATTAAGTAGATGTAACGTTGAAAGACTAATCGGATGCATTAATAGACGGGATCGGGTCTTCAGGCTCGCTGACTTGGTTGATGTATGTCATCGATCCCAATTGTTGGTACAGACCGCCGTCATATAGCTGGAATATTGCTAAGTGCGGCGTTAAACAACAAACCAACCAAAACCAAATCTTATAATATCAAACATCACGCTGCTGTTTATCGGACAATATATTAAAGGGAGAATCCATGAAGGGCGCAGGAATTTTGGATTTGGGGAGTTTGGACAAAAATAGAAGGTGAGCATGTCATCCATTTTTCTATTACAATGCACATAAATCACAACATTTTAATAACTTATTTAAGATTCAGGAATCAATACCAAGTGTTCCTTGATACTCAGATACAAGGTATACCTGACATGGC